AATAACAAATATTTCAAAAATTAAGCAAAATATTTTAACACATACTTTACCAGAAAATGTATGTAAGATGATGAATTTGCACGTAAAAACATTTTTTATGACATCAGCCATAAGGAAAATACAAATCAAAACCAAAATGTGAGATACCACAAATCAAATCTCAAATCTATGAGAATAACTGAAATTGAAATGGCTAACAATATTGAGTGCTGATGAGGATATGAAGCAAGGGGAAATCTCAAACATTGCTGTAGAGAATACCAAATGGTACAGCCACTTTGGAAAACAGTTTAACACTTTCTTGTAAAGCTACAAATACACATACTATACAATCTTATTTTTAGGTATTTACCCAGGTAAAATGAAAACAAATGCCCATACAAAGACCTACATGCTAATATTTATAACACCTTGATTCAAGATAGTCAAAAACTGGAAAAGCCAAAATTTCCACTTGCAGGAGAATAATAAACAAATTGTGGTAATAATCATCTAATGAAATTCCATTCAGTAATAAAAAGGAATGTACTACCCATATACCCAAAAAAGTGAATGCATCTGGAAAATACGTATTTTGCTAAGTCAAAGTGGATGATCAAAATGTCTATATTTTGCATGATTTCAATTTATATCACATTCTAGAAAAGGCAAACCTATAAAAACAGAAATCAGGTCAATGTTTCCCAGAACGTAGGGGTGGGAGAAGAGGCTGACCACCAAAGAGCATGAAGAAATGTCTTGGGATGACAGACATGTTCTATGTGTTAAATATTATAGTGGTTACATAAATGCACACACTTATCAAAATCTCATCTATCTGTAAACTTTTAAAGGGTGGACTTTATTATTTGTAAATTATACCTAAATGAACATGATTTTAGAAAACATATTGCCAAAGTCTATTAAACAGTTTATTTTTTAAAAACTCAGAAGAAAAATAGGTAAGCTAAATTATGTAGGTATAAAACAGAAACTAACAGAACTAAGATAAAAAATTGAAATTTTTAAATAAAAAATGACCCCTATAGATAGAGAGTTTAAACACATAATTTTCCATAAAAGAAATGGGGAAAAGTTGCCAATGAGCTACAATGCATAAAAGCATAGGCACAGAGGATTTTGCAAAGGAGTTCTACCACAACTCTAAGAGCTAGTAAGTCCAATGCTGCAAACTGTTACTGAACATTGGAAATGAAAGAACATTTCCGTATTTCCGGGGTGGAATGAACATAACATTGATTTAAAATCTGATATTGATTGTCCATCCCTAAAAATTTACCTCAGTCTACCCACCAGGGCAAAAGTACCAAAACCAAAGTTCATTGGACATTTAAAAATAATATGTATAACCAAGTGAGGTTTATTACAAGAATGGAAGAATTACAGAATATCAGGAAATCCATTAATAGAATTCATCATCTTAATAGATCTAAGTTGAAATTACACATTCTTCTCCATAGACACCAAAAAATCATTTAACAAAATTCAACACCTAATTTGTTTTTTTAAATTGATGAGATAGGGATCAATGTCTACTTTCTTAAAAAATATAACATATATTGTATAATGGAGAAACATCGTTTCAATTAAGGTAGGACAAGGACGAAGAAACCTACTATTTTCACTACTGTTTGACCTTGTAATACAAGTCTCTGACAAATCAAAGAACCAAGCAGAAACAATTAAAGGCATAAAAATTATAAAGAAGGAGGTAAAAATAAATCTCTGTTAAGAACATATAAAATCATAACTTGAAAACCTAAGAGAATATAAAAAAATAGTTTTCAATAAGAGAATAACAAGAATTTGGTAGGAATTCAGTGGGAATAAAATTAACATACCAAAACCATGAGACTTTATATATACAAATTATAACCAATACAAAAATGCAACGGAATAGAAGATCTAATCAAACTATATAGCCACAAAGACAGATGTCAACACAGCTATTTCAAAATAAGACATATCCTAGCAGATTAAAGCATAGAATAATTAAACTAATCAACAAACGAGCTGATTTATATAACCTTCCATCATACATAAATTTCATTATTGGTGTAAGAATTTTACCTTTTTGTTTGCTGATGGAATATGAAAATTAATCATGTGCTCAACCACAAAGGAAACCTTGACAAATTCAAAAAGTAAATTTTTCAGTGTATGTATTTATTTATTTATTTGAGATAGAGTCTTGCTCTGTTGCCTAGGCTGGAGTGCAATGGCACAATCTCGGCTCACTACAACCTCCGCCTCGTGGGTTAAAGTGATTCTCCTGCCTCAGCCTCCCGAGTAGCTGGTATTATAGGCGTGTGCCACCACATCCAGCTAATTTTTGTATTTTTATTAGAGACGGGGCTTTACCATGTTGGCCAGGCTGGTCTCAAATTCCCAACCTCAGGTGATCTGCCCACCTTGGCCTCCCAAAGTGCTGGGATTACAGGCGTAACCACCATGCCCGGCAAGGTGTATATTTATTATAATTTATTTTTAACAAAGAAAAAACAATTTAAACAGTGACCTAAAATTGATAGCTGCTTGGTAATTAAGAGATTCTCCTAGACAATCCCTGAATTCTTGGTGAAATCAAACCTAAAATTAAAAACTGTCTAATAAGAAGCAAAATAGTAAAAAAGTTATAGGAAATGTATGAGATATAGCAAACTCAGTGCCTAGAGAAAAATATATGGTCTTAAGTCTACACACATTAAAGAATTTAAAACTATTTTAAGAAGTTTAAGGGATACAAGCAAAAACAAAAGGAAAATAATTAAAATAATAGCTCAAAATAATGAAATATGATCTTGAAAATAATATTTTCAAATGGATAAATACCTAAATAAATAAACCTTGAAAAGACCAACAAAACTGATAATCCTCTAATAAACCATATTAAGAAGAAACAGAGAGAGAGAGTACGTAAATCTACAGCAAAAAAATAAAAATCAATCCTCATCTTCTAGTGACACAAACAAATATTTAAACATAAAATTATGTCAGGATTTGGTTCAGAATAATTCAGAGGATGAACTTTGAAACTGGATGAAGGATACATGGAAATTCATTATACTACTGTTTAATTTATTTTCAAAATTGCACATTTCCCCTTAAGCTACAATTCTATTTTTCTTTTTCCCTTTTTCATTATTTATTTGCTCTTGTCACCTGTTAAAAGAAAAAAAAAAAAAACTGTCCTACCACTTCTCTCATTATTCTACTGAAAATGTTATGGCCAAAATCACCAATGACGTTCTAATTGCCAAATCCAGTGGCCTTTCCTTTTCTATCCCTTGTCACATTCTGTGTGACACTTCTGCACGGTGACATGCACATCTAGGTTTCAATTGTTATCCCAAGTCTGATAACCCCTTGTCTATTACCCGCTGAATACACCCAATCTCATCCAAGGTTGATAACCCTCTAATCTATTGTCAGTTCCAGAATTAAATTTTTTCTGCCTATTGCCTGTTGTAAACTCCTTCAGCTTAACCAGACCAGTGCTTACCAAGTTCTTCCTCACCCTGTTTGCACTTCCTCCCATATTTTAGATCTTACTATATGGCATCTTTGACTAGCTAGAATAGCAGATGGAATGGCAGCTGGAATGGTATATTTGACTAGTTCTCCCTAGCTAAAACCTTGATTTATTTTTTGACCTGTATCTTACTCGTCCTTCACATCCTATCTCTTTCTCTAATTTGGCTACATCTTTGAATCTTTACTGCCACTACCAGTTAAAACCAAAATGAGACAAAAGCCTTTTAAGCACAGGCATTCTACTCTTAAGAATCGATAGCATAGAAATAAAATGATCAACATGAAAGAACATAATTGGAGTTGCCTATATACCCTCTTGGTACCCCAACTCCCCTAGGCCCCAGGGTCAAGGGTCAAACCAATAGTTAATTTCATGGCAGCTGGCAACCCTAACAACAAACTTACCCTGATATGGGATTGGTGAAGGGTGGGAGTTCATCCCCGCGGCTACCAGAAGTGTTAGCTGCTGTGGCTTGCAGTTTCTAGGAGATTTAGGAATATCTCTTGAGAAAGAAGGGAAATAACACCCTAGGGGCAGCCAGATGCTCAGTGTAAAGATTAGGCATTCTTGCCTCTTTAAAGGATGACTCTGAAGGACCACCCCAGAGCCAGAGCACCTGGTGGAGTCAGCCAGGGCTTCTTCTCTTGCAACCACCTCTCATTTCAACTTCTGCTCAAAACTGCTTTGCTTAGACAATTACAGGTGTGGTTCCCGAAAGTGCTTCACAAAAAACTCCCTGGATACAAATTCCTGCCTCAGAAACTTTTCCCAGAAAACTGAAATTAATACTATGGTAATTGCTGACAGATCATATACTATGTGCCAAGAACTCTTTCAAGTGCTTTATGTCTCTAAATGTATTTAATCTTTACAAAATCCCTAGGCAGTAGGAAGCATTAGTATCTCTAAGACCACACAACTAATGAGTGGTAGAGCCACAATTTACAATCAGGATCCTTAGACCGTTTTCTTAACCCTAAAGCCTCCCTCATAAGATTAAGTGTATTGTTGAGTATTGTGCTTAAAAATGAAAAAGTTAAATAATAATAATAAAGTATACAAAGATGTGTAGAGAGATCTAGAAGAAAGACAGCTTGACATGTTTGAGGTAATAAAGTCTATTTTGACCCAAGGAAAGTCGCCTGCATTGAGGTCAGAAAATAAGCAGAGTGAGCCTTTGGAAATGAAGTTCATCTTAGTTGTGTAAAACGCTTTTTTTTTTGGATTGCAGCAGAAGTCCTCTAGCTCTTGACTCTGATGCCTACTCAAGGAATCCAAAAATGTTTTATATTCCAAGTTACAGAGGCAATCGTGACAAGAAATGATTGCCCGCGCCTTATAAATGATATTGGGCTATAACAGCTCAGTGTATCAGGCCAGTAGTTTGGTTTCAGGATGATGGTTTATTTCCTGGATGACTGCCTAACTAAATGTCGCTGGGACCTCACAATAGGAACACACATTTCTTCAAACATCTTAAATTTTGAATGGTCATTCCCTGTTGTGATACTAGCTAGCTGTTTATTTCAATGATCTTGAAATCCTTTTCCTCTTCACTGACCCCTGCCAAATGGTAACTAATCTTGGAGCATGTAATTCTAACTCCTAAATTGGACCTCTTTAGTCATTCACGTCTAACTTCATTCAAGGCCTCTAATGATTCCTGTATCTGACAGCTCTTTCTACATGTGATGTCAGTTCTCTATATCTGATAGCTCTCTCAGGACTTCTAGGCCCCTTGGTTCTTTCACTCAACTAGGCCCCAGGGTCAAGGGTCAAACCATAGATGATTCCATGGCAGTTGGCAGTCCTGACAGCAGGCTGTCCCTGATAGATACAGAAGTGGGGAAGGGTGGGAGTTATCTATCTTCTCTGTTTTATAGACTACTTCAACTTCTACTGCTGCCAATGCCTCAGCAACCACTGAAAGTTCAGATATCACCCTTCCTGTAACTAATCAAGTCAAGGAAGAGATCTACGAAATAGTGGTGGTGGTTCCAGCTAGAAATTTTCACTCACAATGGTGCATGTTTCAGATAGAAGTATCCAGGGTATGAACATACTTTTGTCCTCCTGGGTCGTAGTCTTAACGGTGATAGGAATCACCTTAGATGAATGGGTTGAATTGATTTCAGAAGATGAAGGAATCAAGATAAACCACAGTCCATGGATGACATGTTGCCCTGCTGTTTGGCCAGAAGGTCAGAACCGTACTCTAGAAAGAGATGGGTGGAAAGGAAGGGTGTGTCCTTAACTTTGCTTTCCTTAACTTGCATTAATCTCACTAATGTACCCATTATTTTCTAGTGCAGCTTCTCAAGTTGCAGTGTTCTTCCTTCCATAGTCAATGCAGTCAAGGCAGATTCCAAAATCTCACCATTTAGGTGTTCTGGAAAAAAGTTTATATGTTCACAGCCTTAACTGCTGGGCATTTGAGAAGTCTCAGCAGTAGCAGCAGGGTGATCCACACAACTAGACATGTGGGTAAGAAAGAAAGGTAACTGGCATTGAATTGTCTGTATTGCCACTAGATGATAGGGTGAATTGGGGTATTTAACAAGAAATGAGTTTGAAGAAAATGATAGAAGAGAAAGACACATAGACACCAGGATAGAGAACAATTGTTTCTGGTTCTCATTCAGCTTAAGGTTCCCTTGCTTCTTTGTTATTTTGCAACTTCTTTCTTATTGTTTAATCAAATCTTTCACCCTACTCCAATTTTCACCTAGAGATTTCTGGACCCCAGGTAGAAATGAGTCTAGAAGAAATATCTGTACTCTCAAAACAGCTTTTGCTTTCCAACAGATGACCTGAAAGTAGTCAGGATTATGATGATGTCGATCCTTGGCCTTTCCTTCCTCCTTAACTTAATCCTGGGTATGAAATTCACCTATCTGATTCCTCAAAATAAATCTCTACAACTCTTTACTGCCATCCTCAGTTTCTTCTCAGGTAACTTCCTGGCTCCCCTAACACAGGCTTGTAGGTGTACTTTGATGGGTGGGTTCAGGCTGCAGTCTCTGAAAACATAGATATATATATATGTTTATATATAAAAAACCATATATATATAAAAACCATATATATGTTTATATTTTTATATATGTTTATGTTTTCATATATGTTTATATATTTATATATATGTTTATATGTGTGTGTGTGTGTGTGTGTGTGTGTGTATATATCTGTAGCTTCTGAGTTAGATCTACCATAAAAGCAGGAGCAGGATCAGTCTTTGGGCAAGGTGCAGTTGGACCGGGTGGAGGTTGGGAAGTCAAGTGTATTTGGAATGAAGACTTGCATCAAGGAGCCAAAGTTTCTCAGAAGGGCCTTTTTTTTTTCCTTTTATCTGGACCTCAGGTATCCTCCTGCTCTGGGCACTCATGCTATATCGCAATAAACTGAAGCATGGCCAATCCGTGCACTTCTCTAGTTATAGGATCACCTGGATCATGAATACTGCTTACTTAAACGTTTTCTTCTTGGCTGTCTGTGGTGAGTGTCTCCAGGGCCCTTGAAGGGTGTTAAGAACCAATCCATCCCTGACAGAGGGTAGGCTAAAAAGATGGGATAGGGGAATAGAGGGAAAAGTGCCAAACCTTGCATTTTAAAAGGCTGCAGCTCACCTGGATTCATTCTCTGATGACAGTTCTTCCAAGAAGAGTGGGAGATCAGGCTTATGCGAGATGTCTGCTGTGCCTGGCCTCAGAGGGTAGCTCCTCATCTCCACTTTTTATTTTGCCTTTCACACCCTCCCCCACTTTAGGGTAGAGATAACCATCAAAGTCATGACCAAGGTGGGTGTCTGAGACAGAATGCTCAGCCACTGTGGAGAGGAACAGTGACCCTGGGAGTACAGTGTAGTGTCAAGGCAGTTTGAGGGCAGAGAGAATATCTGATGCTAGATGGCCATCTACCAAAACCTAAGTCTCTCCTTTCCTAAGAAGTCTTTTAAAATTCATTTGTAATTACACTTCCTAACCCAAAAAGAAGCATGTTCTCTTTCAAAAAGAATCCTCAATTTTCTTAAGCTGAGTAGAATTTAAGCTATTGTACATACACTTCCAGTTTCTTCCACTAAAGCATTCACCTCCCAGATGGCTTTGGGTAGTTAAAAGGGATCCACTGGGCTTTGGGTCAGGGTCTTCAGCCAAATTGGAGGAAATCGCTTCTGACTCTCCATTGTCCCTTCATCCCACTCCCTGGAATCTCTTTTCCGTAGGAATCCTCTCTCTCCTAGAGTGCAAGTTGTCTACCGGTAGCTGTACCTGCCTGAACATCCATACATCCGACACAGAATGTAAGGAATCTGAGAATTCTATCGAAGGCATTTCATTACCAGAACACGCTGCAAAGCCTCGTAGCATTGTCCGTACACACACTGTGAACTCAAAGGAAGACAAACAAGTTCAAACACGTCGCGTAACCTGGGCTCTGTGATTCGGCAATCTATTTCTTGCAGTATACTCTCATCTTTATGGAAAAAGCTTTGTGGGTGTGTGCTGTGTCTCCAACCATGTTGTCTCTATTTGGAATTATAGTCGGGGTTTGTAAAAAGATCTGGAAGATGGTTTTTTAAAAACTCCTGGCCTGCTGAACAAATAGTTTCTTCTGCAACATTTGTTGTTACTATAATAAATATTATAACATAAATAATACTTTCTGTATTGTTAAGTCTATACATCACAAACGCTTATAATAATATATAATAGTTTTATTGTATTGTGAAATAGTTCAAACATACATAAGAAATACAAAACGATGATCAAACACCTATGTACACATCACCCAACTTTATAAAATTTAAACACTATTTCCTGGAGAAGTTTTTCAATTAAATTTATAGATATAACTGATGTTCCTCTAAAAACGTCTCTGATTTCATTTCCCTCTCTTGTTTCCTATCATAAAACACTTTTAAGAATGCATTGCTGATGACTCACATTCATGTTGACATTTTCATTACAAATTTATGCATCTATAAAAATTATATAGACCAGCTTTTCAAATGTGTGAAAGTTGGTCCCTATTACACTGTAGAGATCATGTGGTATTTATTTTAATAAATTGCTGAAATAAATCTTCTAATTATTTTAGAATTCCTGAATCTATCTATGTAAGCAGAACTTGGTTCCTTCATGCCTTTTTGTGGTTCATACTTTGTGGTGCTAAATAATATTCCATTGTAAGAATGTACCACAATTTGCTTATCTATTTCACCTACTGAAGGACATCTTGGTTGTTTCCAAGTTTGGGTAGTTATGAATAAAGTTGTTATAAGCACCTGTGTGTAGGTTTTTGTCTGAACATAAGCTTTCAACTTTTTGGGGTAAATACCAAGGAGGATGATTGCTGGGTTATATGAGAAGAATGTGTTTAGTTTTGTAAAAAACTTCCAAACTGTCTTCCAAAGTGGCTATACCATTTTGCATTCTACCAGCAATATATGAGAGCTCCTGCCACACCACATCCTTGCCAGCATTTGATGTTGTCAGTATTTTGAATTTTGACCATTTTAATAGATGTGAATATGTCTCATTGTTTTAATTTGCAATTCTCTAGTGATATATAATATGAAAACATCTTTTCATATGGTTGGCATCCATGAGGTATCTGTTCCATTCTTTTGCCCTGTTTGTAATCAGCTTTTTCATTTTTTTGTTGAGACTTTAAATGTTATTTGTGTATTTTGGATAACAGTCCTTTACCAGATATGTCTTGCAAATACTCTCTCCCGGCCTATGGTTTGTATTTTCATTCTTGACAATGTCTTTTGTAGCACACTAGTGTTTAGTTTTAATAAAGTCCAGCTTATTAATTCTTATTGTGCCTTCAGTGTTGTATCAAAAAAGTCATCATCATGCCCAAATTCATCTAGATTTTCTTCTGTCTTATCTTCTAGTTTTATCTGTTTCCACGATTCATTTTTATTTAATTTTTTTGGAAGCTATAAGGCATGTGTTCAGATTTCTGTTTGCATGATGATGTCCACTTGTTCTGGCACCATTTGTTGAAAAGCCTTCATTGAATTTCCTTTGCTCCTGAGTCTATTTCTGGGCTCTCTGCTCTATTCCATTGATGTATTTGTCTTTTTTTTTTTCACTAGTACCACATTGTCTTGATCACTACAGCTTCATAGTAAGTCCTGAAGTCAGGTAATGTCAGTCCTCTGACTTTGTTCTTCTGAAATATTGTGTTGGCTATTCTGGGTCTTTTGCATCTCCCTATAAACTTGAGAATCCAGTTGTCAACGTCCACAAAATAATTTGCTGAGATTTTTATTGGAATATGTTGAGATAGATAGATAGATAGATAGATAGATAGATAGATAGAGTTAGGCAAAATTGACATCTTGACAATATTGAGTCTTCCTATCCATGAACATGTAATATATATCCATTTACTGAGTTATTTGATTTTTTATCACAGTTTTATAATTTTCCTCATGGATTTTGTTACAGTTGGTGCAAAAGTAATTGCGGTTTTTACCATTACTTTTAATGGCAAAAAGCCACAATTACTTTTCCACGAACATAGTATTCTGTTAGATTTATAGCTAAGTATTTTAATTTGGGGGATGCCAACGTAAACAGGATTGTGTTTTTCACATTTCAGGTTTCACGTGTTCATTTCTGGCATATAAGAAGGCAATTGACTTTTTTGTACATTAACCTGTATCCAGGATTTTGGGGTTTTATTTTTTTAATCTTTCAGGTTTTCTATACATACAATCATGTCATCTATGAACAAAGACAGTTTTATTTATGACTTCCCAATTCATATACATTTTCTTTTCTTCTTGTACTTCTAGCACATCTAATATGATGATGAAAAGGAATGATTAGAGGAGACATATTTGCTTTGTTCCTGATCTTAGTGGGAAAGCTTCTCATTTCTCATCATTAAGTATGATGTTTAAGTAGATTTTTTTCTAAATGCTCTTTATCAAATTGAGGTAGTTCCCCTCTATTATTTGTTTTGGGAGAGTTTTTATTATAAACCAATGTTGGATTTTGTCAAATGCTTTTTCTGTATCTATTGATATGATCATGTGATTTTTCCTTGTTAGCCTGTTATGTGATGGGTTACATTAGTTGATTTTCAATGCTGAAATATCTTGTTGAAGATTTTTGCATATACCTTCACGAGAGATGTTCTGTAGTTTATTTGCTTACAATGTCTTTGTCTGGTTTTGGGTAGCACTACCCTTATAGAATGTTAAAAATTCCCTCTGCTTCTGTCTTCTGGAACAGGTTATAGAAAATGGGTATAATTTCTTCTTTAAATGTTTAGTACATTTCAGAGGAGAATCTCTCTGGGCCTTGTGCTTTCTATTTTGGAAGGTTATTAATCATTAATTCAATTTACTTAATAGATACAGACCTATGAAGATTGTTCTTATGCTGATTGTGGCACATTGTTTCTTTCAAAGAATTGGTTATCAAATTTGTGGCCATAGAGGTGTTCACAGAATTATTTTATTATTATTTTACTCCCCATGGGATCTGTTGTTATATGCCCTCTTTCATTTCTGATATTAGTAATTTGTGTCTTCTCTTTATTTTTTTCTTACTTAGCTGGCTGGAAGTTTTATTAATTTTACTAATCATTTTGCAAAACCAGTTTTGGGTTTTCTTTCATTTTCTCTGCTGATTTCCTATTTTCAACTTCATTGACTTCTCTGATTTTTTTCTTCTGATTATTTTGGATTTGATTTCATCTTCTTTTTCCAGTTTCCTAAAATGGAAGTTTAAATTACTGATTGTAAGTATTTCTTCTTTTCAATTACAATTGAGCAACACAGGTTCGAACTATGTAGGTCTGCTTATACACGGATTTTTTTCAATAAATATGTTGCAAAATATTTCAGAAATCTGTGACAATTTGAAAATTCTTGCAGACAAGCTGCACAGACTAGAAATATCAAAAAAAAATTAGAAAACATTGGGTATGTCATGAGTGCATAATACCTGTAGATACTAGTCTATTTTATCATTTACTATGACATTATATACACAATTCTGTTGTAAAAAGTTAACATTTATCAACACATGCACACAAACACAGATGATACGTGGCACCATTTGCAATTGAGAGAAATACAAAAAAAATGCAGTGTTAAAAACTGCATAAAATTTACTGTAGTACTTGTTGTACTACTGTAATAATTTCGTAGCCACCTCTGTTGCTATTGTGGTGAGCTCAAGTGTTGACCATCCACTGAAAATGGCATGACACTAATCATATCCATGTGAGCAGTTTGTCTTTCCGATAAATTGCATATCACAGTAAAAAGTAATCTCTCATGGTTCTTGCATATTTTCATGTTTAGTGCAATACAGTAAATCTTGAATAACACCATGGGACTCATATGAAGTGCCACTAGTGATGCTGGAAGTGCTCCCAAGAAGCAAAGTCATGAAGTTAGAACAAAAAGTTGAATTGCTTTATATGTACTATAGATTGAGATTTGCAACTGCAGCTGTTCACCATTTCAAGACAAATGAATTAAGTGTAAGGATCATAGTATAAAATGAAAAACAAATTTGTGAAGCTATCACTGAAGTCATGCCAGCAAATAAAAAAAAAGTGTGCTTTTTGCTAAATACCTTTTAATCTCACATTGAAAATGTAGCTTTTGGAGCAGTGGCTCACACCTAGAATCCCAGCACTTTTGGGAGGCTGAGGTGGGCAGATTGCCTGAGGTCAGAAGTTCAAGACCAGCCTGGCCTACATGGGAAAACCCCATCTCTACTAAAAATACAAAAATTATCTCGGTGTGGTGGCAGGTGCCTGTAATTCCAGCTATTCAGGAGGCTGAGGCAGGAGAATCGCTTGAACCCAGGAGGCAGAGGTTGCAATGAGCGGAGTCCATGCCATTGCACTCCAGCCTAGGTGACAAGAAGGAAACTCCATCTCAAAAAAAAAGAAAGGAAACAAAATGTAGCTTTCATGTCATTGCAGGATTGTTATAAGAAAGACATACCTGACCGAGTGCAAAGGCTCATGCCTGTAATCCCATGATATGTATAAGTGGAGATACACAATCCCTCTTATTAAAAAGAAGGGTGCATAACGATAGAACAATAATACAATCAACCAATGTTGCTTCATGTTTGCCTTGTATATCCCTTTTCTATTATTTTTCAATTATTACTTCTGCTTCTGTATTAGGTGTGCCTCAAGTAAACTATATTTGAATTGTTTCACTTAATGCAGCAATCTCTGACTTTTAGTAGACAGAAGTGTCAAAGCCTCAAGGCTTTGATAGTAAGAAATTGATGGATCTCAAAGACTGAATTTGTGTCATTGAATAGAGGTGCTAAGGGCCACAATGAAAAGAACATATACAGGAGTACACTGTCAGAGAGAAATGTTAATTGACCACCACTCCATTCCATGTCTGGCTGCTTTGGAACGTGTCGATCCCATATCTTTTTGAGATTATTTCTTAAATCTAGAAAATGTCTGTGTTCGCTTAGTTACATCTAGTCATCACTCTAATTCATCAACCTTAGGGCTTTAGGCTAGTACAAGGATTAGGTATAGACCAATATAAATACGGAGAAAGTTATCTTAAAAACTGAACTGTTGGCCATGACAGGAAGGAAGATTGGATGCGCCTCATTATACCTCCACCCTTTTGGAGTTTAGGTAC